GCCAGGAGCTTCCGCAAGAGCTTCCACCAGCATCATGCTTCCGCAAAACCTTCCGCATGCTTCCATGCGCACAGCGAGAAGCACATTTCGGAAACCATCCCGAGAGATCCCAGGAGTTATTTCCGTATTTAAGTATCGGTAGACAACCGCAAGAAAAAACGTGAACAACAGCTACAAGGGGCACAAAGGAGAATACTCCACAGCAAGCTACAGCCAGATGCATTCGTAATGGAATCTGACCGCACAACTAACATGACAGACACCTTCTCAGAATCCTTTTGCAAAGCTCGGCACCTCCGAATTTTGACACCACAGGGAACTTGTTGCCCAGTTCTCTCTGCTGGCGCAGAGTGCGAAGAGTCCTTGTGGCTTGAAGTCATCCAAGCCTCCAAAGCCAAGCGATGCTTCTGCTTCAGGTGCCTGCGCAAAGCAATCTCACGGATGTCGCGGGGAAGCCTCTGCAAACATGCATGTAGCTGGCGCAAAACATGCTTGCTGCGACCAAGCCGTCCCGAGGGTGGAACCCTCCCAGCGACTTTCGACTGTGGCGTACACGATGGCGCAGGTCCCCGGCCCATCTTCGGCTGAGGCCGGAAATTGCTCCGCTCGTGCCCGAAGTCTCCACCACGTGGCTGGACCCCTAGCGGCCCTGGTGCTCGCGCAGCAGATGCCTTGTGAGGCTGTGAACTCGTACTTGTAGCGCTCGTTGCCTTTTCAAATGCCAGCATGACTTGCTGGAACTCCTGGGAGCTGCCGCCCTTGTCTGGATGAACTTCCAGAACACGCCGTTTGAACGCGGCACGAATTTCAGAATAATCAGCATCGAGAGTTACGCCAAGGATGCCGTGCCAGCTCATCATGCGGGGTTGAGCTTCCGATAAGTAGTCGAGAAAGCCTTGCAAATCTTTACAGCATATTTGGACCTTTCAGGAAGAAATCCTCATCTGCCAAAGCAAACTCGTGGAGAATCACCTCCTGAGAGCCGACACCCATATTATGCCACAGTCAAGGCATGACTGATCCACAAAGTCTTGGCAGCTCACTTCGAGCCCCTGCTTGAGATTTGGTTGGAGGCACCCTTGCCTGCTCCATCCTTTCTCGCGGGAATCGGAATCAGGATGACCTGCCAGCAAGTAATCAGGCTTACGTACAGGAACAAATCCCGTGGGCAAACAGCGTGCCTGCGTCGGAGCAACGAAAGGAGGCAGAACCAAGCCCTTGTCATCGCCGTGCACCTGTTCTTAGCAGAGCCTCTCTGCTCAGCATATCTGGGCAAAGCATGGTGTAGGTCGAAACCATTATCATGATGCCGATGCAGCGTGTTGTGAAGCCCCAGCAAGTCCTTGGGCATCATGACAACAGGCATCAACAGCTGTGATCACAGGCTGTGACCCTCGGAGCCCTGCTGATGCACAAAGTGCTTGTGGCCAGAAACATCTTCAAACCGGATTCCGAACCTTCACAGCATCAGAATGCTTCAGGAGATTGTTCGACAACAATTGGGCATCCCTGCCAGGCTGGGGGCCCGCACATTCTCGCAAAGTTCTGACCCAAATAATGAGATGTTGCGGCCTCACGGAACCCAGTTGCATCCCAATACTAGGACATCATGCATCCTGCCTGAATTCCACGTCCAGTCGCAGGGATGAAGCCTTCGAGCGTCTCTGTGTACACACTGCCCGCAAACCTCTCCTCGCTGAAGCCAACACCAGAGATTTTGAAGAGGAGCATTAGTGTCCATTTCATGTTCCATGCTCTTTTCCATTTTATGTTCCATTACTTGCAATATCCGCCTTGCACATCCCGAGATTATGTAACCATGACGACTGCAACTCCTCCGAAGACTTCACACCCTTGATGACCGGCAGCGCCAACAAATCTGTGTACCTCATTGCACGAAAAAAGAATACACGCAAGCCCTTGCTTGATGCAGTGTCGCAGCTGGGGTACGCTTGGGCGTAAAGCTCCAGCGCTGTTCTGACAACATCTGAGGCTTCTTCTTCAGTGGCATGGGCAGTGTGCCCCTCCTGTCACTGAAATTCATACCACACACAGACTAAGCTCATGCCCATTTCGAAGCCCTGCGTCGCCTGCCACAAGAACTCCCGCGTTCGCAGAAATGGAGTCGGCTGCTTAAACTCCCTAGGTGGCAGAATGCAAGCGTGCAGGCAAACAGCAGCTTTGCAGCATCCTGAGGGCGACAACGACATGTTAGTTACCTTTGTAGGCTTCCTGCCGGTGGTAGTATTTGAGCAATGGGGGGTCTCCAAAAGTAGGAGTCCCCCGTATCTTCCCAAAAATGATCCTTTTTAGAAGAACCCACAAATGACCCGCAACTGTTGGAAACCTTTCAGGAAGTACACGGCAAGGCACCATCTCACCACGTTGGTCCATTGATTCAGCTGCCTGAGCCAATTCTGAATCGGGCAATCACAGGGGAGTTTCTCAGAACAGTGGTACCTTGCAGCCAGGGGCACGTATGGAAATGACAAAGGGATTACTGGGGTCCTTACCGCGAGGGATTATGTTGGGGACGTGTTGAAGTTATCCTCCAAAAGATGTTCAGCCAGAGGCGCAGCGGAAGGTCGCGGTAGGACCGAATCCACTTTGCAAAGGCTGGGTACCTGGGGTTCCCAAAACTTGGGAAAGGCTGCGCCTTGTTGGGGGTCCCAGAAGAAAGCATGATTGGATCTTTGTTGAGAGAAACCCTGGCTTGCTGGAAATACTCGCTGCAAGGGCGCAGCGCAACACGGATCAGACAAAGGGTTATATTGGGGTTATATTTAGTTGAAAATAAAATGGAAACTGCTTAAAGGTTATATCTGCAAGTATCATAATCTGAGCCTGCAACATTATAGTCTCGCTTGTCGGTCGTATGGCAATCTGTCAAACCAGCTATCGACAGCACATGCGAAGCTGTGGTTAGGCTCTGTTTTACCATTGCTGCTACCGTTGCTATACGAATCAGCTCAAGCATGGCGGTCGCACCGGCTTTGTCAGATCCGAAGTCCCTGATTTCGTGACCCATGCGACCTGCTCAGCTTGCGATTGATACTGAAGCTAGACTTGGTCGAACAAATGACATTACTATGATCAAAATTAATCAAACTCTGAACCAAGTCAGCTTGAAGCCAGTCCTTTCAAAACATGTACGTAGGCAAGAGATGTTGCAGGCAGCGGCGGTGGGGAAGTGGCGGTGCAGCGGCAGCAACGTGGTGGCGGCAGCAGCACTGGTGGCCGTGAAGCAGTTGTAGCAGCATGCAGCAGTAGCGATAACAGTTGTTGCTGCTACCGCTGTTGCAGTTGCTGTCAAGGAGGTGCAAACCTGCAAGAATTAGACCCCTTTCATGTACTCGGGGGAGCAAACTCTCCCACATTTGCTGCGGATTCAAAATAACAGCCATCACGAGAACCCCAAACGCAGCAATAACTGGGCATATTCAGTTCTGAGAAATTACCCCTAAATTCCCCTCCCTTTTTAGGCATGGCAGGATGTTAAGAATGCCATGAAACGCCTCTGGAGCAAAGTCTTCAAGATGCTCCTCCTCGGTTCGCAGTGCCTCCTGGCCGCATCTTGCCGCAAATCAGGGTTTAGTTAGGGTTTAGGGTTTAGGGTTTAGGGTCTAGGGTTTAGGGTCAAGCAGTTGGGAGGCTTTCGATATCATGGCTCTTTTTTGAGCTAAGTTAAGTTGGAGTTTTAGCGTTTCACAGTGTTCCAAACGCCCCACGACTAGTTGCAGGATGTTTCAGGATTGCAGGGTTCACAGAATTAGAGGTACGTTTTCAGGGTCCCTATAATAAGTACTACAGCTTTTGGGGGTCTATATCGGGGGTCCCCCTAAACCCTAAACCCTGAACCCGATCGTAGGTCTCCTGGCTGACGAAGCATGGGAAGTAGGCATTCTGAACGCCAAGCGCCTGGATCTTATCGTCAAGCCTCAGCTGTAGAGTTAGGCTTTAGGGTACTTTGAGTAAGGATTACATTAGGGTTATATTGGGGTGGGGTTATATGGGGATAATGGAAAAGAAAATGGAAGCTACTATTTGGGGTGTGGGGTTTAGGAGGATATTACCCTAAGTACAGAGAAGCAAATGGAAACCAGGATGGAGAATGCATGCAACGGAAACTGTTATTATATACGCTCAAATTCTAGCCACCCATGCACTGCACAGCGCCAGGTAAACATCCAAAGAGCGTGTAAAAGTTGCTGTTGGGTGCCGAAATGAACACCAAAAACGTGGGAAGCCAAACGTGTCTCGTTTTCTGGAGATTAAGGACATCTAAGAATGCGCCATTACATGGGGAAAGGATGGATTTCGGCTTTCGATCTCCGGCGGGCATATGTGCGATGTCGGGAGACGACTTCCAATGTCCGGGAAAGGGATGTCTAGATGCCCGTTTTAGGATGTCATCCTTAAATGTTCAATGAATTTCAATGTCTGCGCGTCGTTTTTCAATGGCTGGGCTGCGGCCCCGATTGGGGATGTTGGCATTTGGAGGGCAATGAGCATAGGACCTTCAGCTCATCTGTGGGTTCTATTGGATTCCACTGGGTATGCAATGATCAGATCGTGCAAGTTTCATGTCAGGAGCTTAGTGCAGGTTCTGCTGTCAGCTGAATGAGCACATGCACTGCATTTGAGCACTGCACCATCTTGATACTTGCTGCCATATAGAGAAGGACCATGGTCGCAAGATGTAGCACCTGCAAGGGTACAGTGGGCCCCAGAGCTGCGAAGGGCGGTTTAGGGTTTAGGGTTTAGGGACATCACTCATCTGCGTCTCGATCACTTCTTCAGACATCCAGCGGCTTTTGAGGGCAAGATTCCACCAAAGCAGAACCCAGCGAACACCACTTCAATGGGGCAATCCCATTAGAGATGTTGAAAACGGAGCAGCACCCACTCACATCATAGTACTCAACCATCTCCGACCGCGTAATGACCTACAGGCATGAGAAGCTTTGGCGTCTTCTGCTCAAGCTCAACTACCCAGCCTGTGTGTACCATGTTGCAAAGTCAGCGGACTTCGTTGCGGTAACACCTTTCGTGTCTTCCTGACAAGGAAATTTCCAACACTACGGGCCTGCTTATTTACCCCAATGATCGTACTACTTAATGTATTGACTTCAGAAATAAAGACTCCCAATGGTTTTAATCACCTACAGGAGCAGGCCAAAATTGAACAGCCCAAGCTCACTCGGAGCTTCTCAAAACAGGGATGCTGATGGGACCGTAGGGATACATGGCGATAATAAATGAGGATCACGGGGGCTTCCTATTAAGGAATACTGTTGATGGAGGAAATCTTGCACCACCTAAAGTCCCTAAAGCCCTAGGAATTACAGTACTTCAGGGCCCCTAGGTGGTGCCAGATATCATCCATCAACACTATGTCAGACCTGATTACCCTAAACCCTAAACCCTAAACCCGAAACCCTTGAATGCATCTCGTCCTGCCGCGGACGCTTCTGACCTTTGCCTGGCCAAGTGCAAATTGCCAGCCCCCGACCCAGATCCCATGTAACTCTTTACTATATGACTCTATATAAACCCGCGACCCCAAGCCCCGCACGGTACCCTAAACCCTGAACCTCTAAACCCTAAACCAGGTAGTTTCCATTGAATTTGCAATGTTTTTTCCATTTGATTCTCCATTGTTGGAAGCAATTTGGCCTCCAAACCCTACATAATCTCTACAGCTGTAACCTTATACAATCTGTATATAATCCCCATGCAGTCCCTCTATAGTCCCTATATATGCTATAATCTAAACTCTTCCCAGTATCCCCCCGCAAAATCCTATAGTACTCCCCTATTTTCTCCCCATATGACCCCCTTGGAGGAGTTGAAATAGCTCATATAGCCCCTTAAACCCAGTTCCAAGTACCACACCTGAGGCACTGAAGAACCGCTGCTGTTCCACGCTTCTCAGCCTTCTGAATCTTGCATTCCTTGCAATCAGGCGCACTTTCTTAGCGCCATTACTACTAATGCCACTATCATGATTAAGACTATTGCGTACTGTCATTAAAACCTAAACCCGAATTACTATGACTATGAGATCACTACTATTACAACTATACTGCCTACAAACACATTGCAGTGGGGCCTGCAGTGCGCGCCGACATTGGCAAGTTGCACCTTGCCGATCGACCCCGCAAGTTTACTGGTGATTAGTAGGGAATGCGGGAATCCATGATAGGGTTCAGGGTTAGCAGGGAATAAGGGAATGGCTTATACAGGGGTTACACAGGGATTATATTCCCTACTTCCCTACTAACTAGTAAGCAAATGCGCTACCACCAAGATCTTGCACCCGGAACCAAGCAAGGCATGGGTGAGTCGGCGTTGTCATGATTGCTATTATTACTGTTATTACTCTTCTACATTCTTGCTTGTATTGTATAACCCTATCAAATCCTACTGTATATAACGTTATAGAACCCTATATAACCCTATATACCACAATTATTGCGGTCGGCCGTTTTAGCTCTTTGGCTACTCAGACTTGACATCCTTCACTGTGCGCGTCTGGCTCTCAGCTGGGCTTGGCCTGGCCAGGACAAGAGGTTTATATAGGGTTATATAGTTCTATATACGTATGGTTACATAGGTTTATATAAAGATATATAAGGTTATATAGAATTATATATGCGTCATATTATATAATGGGTTGTATGTATGGGAAAAAGGGCTTGGGAACAAGGGTAACAACAAGCATGACATAGAACTTGCAGGCGGCACCAGAAGCAGAAGTAGAAAGCCCATAAACCACCAGCAAAGAGCATGCCCAGCACGAAGCCAAGCACCTTGACATTTTGACACTCCTTTTACCTACATAACGCCATATGCCCCCATCTGCCCTTACACACCCCTATATGCCCCTATATACCATGCTAGGGACCACACCAGATGCCATTGGCTAGCATCCACAGAAGCTCCTGCCGTCAGGGTTGTATAGGTTTAGGGGTTTGGGTTCCGGGTTTAGGGTCAGGCTTGCTATAGGATCATATAGGGTTTAGTGTGGGTGTTACAGGGTCATACGGGGTGATATAGGTCTATAGAGGGTTATACTGGATTATATGGGCTTCTATGTGAGCTGCATATGGGTGACAAGTGGTTATGTATGAGCATTTAGGATCGGTCTTAGGAGCATAAAGTGTTATAGGGCCATTTTTGAACCTCTTGTTTTGATGGCAATGGACATAGCAAGGACCATGTTGAAAGGGGCCACGCCGTCAACAGCATCGTTGTCCTGAAACCTATCTCCCACACCCTTCAACCTTGCTGAACAAATTCCCCAACCTTTTTCCCCGTCAAAGTATCGGGGAGCTGGGGTTTTGGGTTTGGCGTCTGGAGCGCAGAAATAGGGCCTGAATCATCCAGGTGGTCATTGAATCTGGCGTTTGAAGGAATCCAAATGTCGCGTTGTTTCCTCAAACGATGACGTTTCCACTGCTTGGATGCTAAACCCCAAACTCTAAGGCCCAACGTAGCAGTCTCCATTTTTCATTACCTCAATGTAAAAAATTAAAAACCCTATGATTGCGATTCCTTGTCAGCCTGAGAGAAGCGAAGGAGCTGTACGCAAATCGTCTGGTCCATAATCTTACTGACATGTGCATTAAAAGTGCGGCATCAGGTGTGGTTCACCCGAGTTGCTGATAGATCGGGGTATTTCTAAGATCAAAAATCAACTCCAACTCAACGGTCCGTTTTCACTCAGGGCAGCAGACTTGGATTGGGGGAGTCGATGGTGCAGGCGGGACAGCATGCTCATGCTTGACATGCACCCTGAGTAAGGTAATTAGGCACATCATGGTACAAAGTGTCCCAAAAGCCAACACCGTTTCTTGAATCACGAACGTGAGGCCTTGCTGGACACTGCCTGCTGACAGCGGTGGCAGCGAAGATGACGTCACGGCAGTGAAGCCCTCAAGAGCGAAGGCCTGGAGGACACATGTCACATGTATCATGGTCCGCAGCATTCAACAACCCAAGCCTTCAGGTCGTCCACTGTCCGAGCACCATCGAAATCGTAAATCCGGCCACCTGTCCAGCAAAGCCGCTGCAGTGCTTTGGATCCCTTTGCAGCGATGCCTGTTACTAGCTTGATGGTGGGGAAGCGCTCCACCGCCCAAAGCTCTGCGAGCGGCCGATGTGCAAGAGCATCAACGCTGGCCACGACCACCTGGAGCGTCAAGTCCATCAGAAGCGTTGAGATCACATGTCTCGGCCCTGGCCTTGTCCTTCAGCTCTTTGGCTAAAGCACCCCACATGGCCTCCATGTTCCTGCGGGCGTGTGATCCTTTGCTGCTGAAAATTCAAAGACCCTGCAATGCAAAGCTCCTGCAGTGACCACAGCCCCGAAGGTAAAAGACCATGAGCCTTTGGAAACAGCAGCTTTGCTACCAATATATCGAGACTATATAGGGATAATGGAAAAGAAAACGCAAATTACTACATTATACTAGGTATAGAATGGGGCAAATAGAGAATAAGGAAACATATACATATACATAAATATATATAAATATTATTATGCCTTTCCAGATCTGCACCACAAGGCCAGCACACTGTTGCACCGGGCGATCTCACTACTGAGTCAAAGTCGCCTTGCCAGTTGCCATCATCCGGATGCTTGTCAAACCGTACTGTTGATGGATGAGATCCTGCACCACCTAAGGGCCCTAAAGTACTGTAATTCCTAGGGCTTTAGGGACTTTAGGTGGTGCAAGATTTCCTCCATCAACAGTATGGTCGGTACCCTATGTGAAACGCAGTCTCTCATATTCAATACTAGGAACTATCATTATCATGCTCATCACTACTATTTACTATTTCTATTACTAGTATTCTCATAAGTAATAGCACCCACAAGGAGTCATGACTTTTGACAATCCCCAAATCAAGTTGTCCATCACCCCCTGGTCAGCTGCATGCACATCGGCCTGATAATTCCAGGGCATCAGGTGCCCCGAATGGAGCGCCTCACCCAGGGAATTTGCTGGATTCATTGGGGCGCATAGAGTTGATGTTGCTTTTCCTGATGTTTGTATACCTCTGGTCTTACAATGAAGACTTCGACACGGAATGTTGCAATGGTTGCAAGCATAATTACAACTGAAGCTTGTATTGCTAGAAACGCTGGAGTTGCATATATTATAAGACTGCGGTGATCCCCTCTATATCTCTTACCGTATGTTTTTTGCTGATTCTTTGCACCCCGAAAAAAGGAAACCTAAATTTTGGAAACCCCAATATGATAATTCCTGGGGAATCCCCAACGCAGCCCACCAAAACCCTACAAACTTTATTATTATGGAGACCCCCAAAGAGGTATCCCCAACTTGATAACACCCCAATGCAAATAAACCACTACGTGTTTCCATGTCATGTTCCATTTTCTTTCTTCACTTGACTCACCTTTCTTGAGAAAATATCCCCCTAAACCCTATATCACCCCTATATAACGCCTACATAACCCTTGCAGAATCCCGATAGAATCCCTATAGATGACTACCCATGGCACCTGTGGCCGGGCCGCCCGGCGACTCCTGAACTGCAAGTGTTCTCATACCCTGGATATTTAATCTACCAGGACAAAGAGGGTTATAGGGGTTATAGAGGGCTATACAGGGTCATATAGGGGTCAAACATATCTACATAGAATCATGATGGCAACAATGGACACTTTGCGGTATCAGCATCATGGCCTTCTAAGCCAGCAGAAGAAGTAGCAGCATCAGGAGTGGTAATATCAGCAGAGGCTATGGCTTCTGAAATCGCAATAAGAATATTAAGACTAGTAATAGTAACAATAACCGTAGTGGTAATGGTAATAGTAATTCTGCTCACAAGCCTCCGGAGGCTCTCGGAACCCTCCAAGAGCGAAAGCCTCGAGGTTTTCCAACGTCCTGCGAAGCGGTCCAGGCGCAAACTCTTTACTCTCCCAGGTGCATATGAGCTATGGACTAAACTCCTTAAAGGGGGTTATATAAGGGATGACTACTATAGGGCTAATTAAAGGGGGATACTAGGAGTTTTGACCATAGCTCATATGAGCTATGGGCTAAACTCCTGAAAAGACCCTATGGGGGGGGTTATATAAGGCTTATTTAGGGTTTTTTTTTTAGGATTTATGGTCTAAACTCCTTGAAGGGGAATCAAAGAGCCCAGCCGAAGCTCGAGGGTCTAGGGTTTACGGTTTAGGCCTTAGGGCTTGGGGTTAGGGTTTAATTAAGGCTTAGGGCATCAATGATGGTTGATGCTCCCACCTGTTCATCTTAAGATACGCAAAGCACGGTTTAAATTTCCACCGAAAAGTATTCCTTGCTCAAGTGAAAAACACACATGCACACATGCACACATACACACATACACACATACACACATACACACATACACACATACACACATACACACATACTAACATACATACATACATACATACATACATACACACACACATACATACATACATACATACATAC